GTGGAAAGAAGAAAAATGTTAATTGGTTTCATTTAAACCTGACTGTCAATCTGATACACAGCAATGGAGATTTGATGATTTTTTTTTTCCTTGTTCATCTGTTCTGCTTGGTGAAATTTAAGGCTTACATAATCCCCCAGAGAGCAATGCAGTTTGAAAAGCAAATAATTAAGCATTAGTACTATAGCCAAAAATCAATTTTCCCGAGAACAAGTTATTTCAGCATTAATATGTTTATTTTTCTTTCTTTTCAAACCTTGGAGTGGATTCTGCATCCTGAATAATGTTAAAACCATGTCATGATTCAAGACTCTAATCACAAGTTGCCACGTCACTGCCATTTACACTGTATACCTTACCTAGAGTGTCCTGGATCTCAGTTCCAGAACGGATTTAATCATTACCCCAACACATCCCCTCTCCAACAACAAAGGGATTTAAGCAAGTGCTTAACTAAACAGAGGAATCGTAGCCCATGTGTCTATGCTGCGCTGGCTTACACATCTAGAGTATAAAGCCAGGATAAAAACACTGCAAACAGAGAACAGATAGAGACCCTGCAGGGAGGAACATGGTAAGTCAAAGCCCTTGCAAAGACCAAGAAAGCAAGGACTAAAGTGTGCTGGATTTGTCAGAAACCTGGAAGCGTCAAAGCTCACTTAACTGAGAGGTGAAGACAGCTTTGCCAGCAGCTGAGCAGCAGCCTGCAACAGCCGAAACATGGTGGTGACTGAGCCAATGAAGCTATGGCCCTGTGAGTGGCACCCTACAGAGGAGCCCCTGCCTGCAGTACCAGCTCTGCCTGCCTGCCTGCCTGGGCCAGCGCTTCACCCCCTGGCTCTGCCACACCATTCAGCACCATCTTCTTCCTCCAGACCCACTCTGGAAAAGGCAGGCATGGAGCTGGGGGGTGCTGCAGCCTTTCCAGCATTCGGAAACCAGGGCACAGAAGGCGATGGAAAGCCAATGCAATTTGTACAGCTGTCGCCGTAGCAGTGGTAAGGAGGTAATGGGAAGCAGAAGCGAGCACCAAAGCTGTGGCTACCTCTGCCCAAGAGAGGCTGTGCCGCGCTGCACCAGCATCAGCGTACAGTTGGTTGTTGAAGGCTTTTTCAAACTACCTGCAGCCCGGCCACCAAGTTCAGGGGTGGCTGGGCACAGGCTGCTAACAAGTAAATAGGAAAGCAAAGACTAAGAAGAGTTGCAGGAACCCAGCTAAGCCATAATGACAAAAAGTTGTTCCTTGTACCAGCCCTGGCTGCAGGGATGGGAGCTGGCACTGCCCGAAAGCTAACAATAAAAAAGGTGGAAAGAACAGTAATAGAGACAAAGCCAGGTTAAACATCAGCCCTGAACTGACTGTTCTCATCTTACTCCTTCTTTCCTCCACAGCAGACTGCCCAGGCTCAGTTCTTGGTTTTAGCCAAACTAAAAAGCACAGGTCTGGCTCCACCTAGAACCACAGAAATGCAACAATTTTACACAGGGGTGAGAGTAAAATCTTGAACCCAGCCTTTGGCGTGGTAGGCACTCTCCACCATGTGCCTTAAAACTCTCATTCTTTAGGAAGCTTAAGCTCTGAAAGTTCATTACCTGGAGCATTACATACGAAGAGCTGCACACTACATCACCATCCCCCTGCTCCTACTCAGCTCATAATTCCCATGGAAAATTCGTAAGAGCTAATATAACATCTCTTCATGCTGCTCTCAGGATTCACTAAGTTTTAAGCAATAATGTCCTGGTTTCAGCTGGGATAGAGTTAATTTTCTTCATAGAAGCTAGCATAGTGCTGTGTTTTGGATTTAGTACCAGAAGAATGTTGATAACACACTGATGTTTTCAGCTGTTGCCAAGCAGTGCTCAGACTACTCAAGGACTTTTTGAGCTTCTCCTGCTCAGCCAGGTACATACCATGCTGGGAGTACAGCACAGCCAGGACAGCTAACCCAAACTGACCAAAGGGCTATTCCATACCATAGAACGTCATGCTCAGGGGGATTAGTTGTTCGGTCGGTCGGTCCCGGGCAGAGTGGTCGCAGCTCGGGCTGGGTGATCTCGGCTCGGGGGGAGTGATCGCAGCTCGGGACGGGCTGGGCATCGGTCAGCGGGTGGTCAGCAATTGCATTGTGCATCACTTGTTTTATATATATTCTGTATATTCTCTTACCATTATTATTATCACTATTGTTATTCTTCTCTCTTATTAAACTGTCTCTATCTCAACCCACGGCTCTTACTTTATTTTTTTCTTTTCTCCCATTCTCTCCCCCATCCCACAGAGGGAGAGGGGGGGAGTGAGCGAGCAGCTGTGTGGTGCTTAGCTGCCAGCTGGGTTAAACCACGACAAATGATTTGCACTGCACCCCACTACCCATTTCCCTTCAGTCACATAACAATCAAGGAATAAATGGGATTGCAATAACAAGCACTAATTTTAAGACACAGAAGAATGATGTGCTTTCTACAGAAAACTAAGATTCCGCAATGCTGCCACTTAATTGATTTGTGGTGTTACGAGCAATTACAACACTCAGAATTTGGAACAATTTTAATAGCTCTTGCTATCAAAACAAAAAAAAAATAAAATTCTGCCTTTAGCACCATCATCACCAGTCTGTTGCATGATTTACAGACCCTGATGCACTTGAGCTCACATCCTGTTCTGGGCTCCTACTCACTACTATCATACAAACAACAGCACATGTAAGATGGTTTTTTACCAGCACTGAAAAAGCTTTTTCTGGCCACACATCGACCCTGCTGACATGGCATCTTCCCCCTCCATCAGTTCAAGCCATTCTACACTAAAGGCAGGGAGCTGAACTCAGGCACAGTAATTAGTAGACACTTGCTCAGCAAACAAGGAAAATGAGATCCCATGCTCATCTACGTAAGCAGGATCCCATTTCCAGAAGTGCTCACACCAGTCATGGTGTTACCTTGCCAGTTATTAATCCTACAACATCTGCCAGGTCAGGAACAAGGACTTCACTCATTTTTTGTTTTCACTTATGCTTGTCCCCCCCACCAGGGTCAGTTACTCTGGGGACCAAAACTTCTCAATTAGTGTGTCAGAAGCAATAAGCTCTCTGCTAATTGCTGTCCTTGTAGGCTTTGACCCAACTAGCAGAGTTTAGCAGCATCTGCCACTGTTTATTAAGTCACCAAGATGAAGGATGTTTTCAGCTTAATATGCCCACAGCAGCCTAAACTTATGTACAACAAAACAAGCAGTTCTACACACATCTCCTGCTGTCTCCACACGCATCATCTTGCCTCCTGCCCTCTCAGTGCTGGCATGAGTGGAGGCAGAGGTGTCATTTTCTTGAGCGTTCAACCAGGGGTACCTGCAAGCTGGAGGATAAGTGAACATTCTGCTACCCTCCCAGTTACCACACCATCAGCACAGCAGCATATTTTTAGATGTGTTTTAAATTTATCTCACCTCAGCCTTGAAAGCATTGCATTAACAAAGAATTTTGTATGCGAAAGACGTTTCAGTAACATTAGCACCTGAGGCTTTTTCCTGTTCTCCAGTGTAAATGGTGCAGTTAAATCTGTACTCAAGGGTCGATTGCTGATAGATCTGGGTACTGAAAGCAGCCACCCTGTCAGAACTGTGGGCATCCAGCACGTTTTCCATTTTTTATTACAGGAAATGCATGCATAAATGCTGTTGGGCAGAAGTCATGCCTCCATTAAGACATGACGGCCCAATTTCTATATACGCCGAACCCCAGAAAGCATCTGTCAACACAATGTGGATTTGGAAATGTCACCTTTGAAAAAGCACATAAACCCAATAATTTTACAGGTCATCATTTTTGTCCTCAAAATATCGGGATTCTATTGGTACCATCGGGAAAACTTGTCCAAGTTAGGGACTGATGCCTTGTTCTCATTTTACTGGGAACCTCAAATGCATCCTTTTTAGCTAAAATGAGCCTGGATATCATATTGTTATTGAGAGGTGGAACGGCCGAAAACGCAGTTCTCTCGCCACAGAGTGCTCTGTATTTTTCTGTGTCTGAAAGAGAGTGAAAAAGTGAGAGAGCAGGAGAGGAACCACGTCTGGAACTTCAGTCATATCATACTTCTGTCAGGATATGAATCCATCTGGAAATAAAAAGCAAGGAAATAACGCATTCTTTCTACCCTGTTTTTTGACCTTTACGTTCACATTGACCATTGCTGCCAGGTTAAGCAACTCTAGAAACAATGCAGTTTTGAAACCAGTCTGGTGCGAGGTTAATTCCTTACCTAAGAGGGAACACCCTGTGCCAGGAAAATTGTTTTCTAAATGGAGACTGAAATGACAAACCTACCTGAGAAGTGCTAATGTACTTCAGGAACCTCAGGGCCTCGTAGTTGAGGGAAGGAGTTGGACTTGCCCATGGTTGTAGTTCAATGTGCCATCTTACAGTCTGCAAAGCAAAGCAAAATAAAAATCGCCTTAAAGGAACAGAATTAATTTCTTGCTACAAGCATAAAATGCAAGGGCTAATAAATTAAGGAGATTTAATTTCAAAGAAAAAGAGCTTCCTAGGGGCTTGTCTACACATGAAAGTAGTTTCAGAATAAAGTAGGGTTTGAACTACAGTGAAAGAGCAGCTAACTATGATTTATCATGATCAGCTTTGAAAGCAGATGTAGGTAATTCAGAACGAAAGGGCTCTTCATCCAGGATACATGTGTCAACACAGTTCTTCTAGGACACCCAAGTAAGTCATGGCTTGTAGAAACACATGGAGAAAACCAAGATCTGAATTAACTAAATTTTCTAGCAAAACATCTGAAAACAGTGACATAATTTTAATTTCATATCTATCGCGTATCTCCACTTGAATGTCCACTGAAACAAGAACTTGGACTGCAAACGCTAATCACCAAAGGAAACCTCTGCAAACAATCTCCGTCGTTTTTTAAAATCTAGATTCGATAGAAAAGCAAGCTTCCTGTGGTCTTTGAGAAAAAGTCTGCTTCCTCTCCCACGCCTGCCTGACAAGCTACACCAGAATTCTTTGTTTTCCTGAAAAAAAACATCACTGTGGCTGTCAGTAGCCCTACCACTCCTCATCTTCATAGCCCCAGGGAAGCAGCTTTGGCAGATGCTTTCTGCAATCCCTGTGAGGCCCCTCAGCTCTGAACCTCGGGGATCCTGTCAGCTCTTCCAGCAACACTTTCCACACAGACAGAGTGGGACAGGTCTTTCAGACACGTGCTTTCAGAGCAATGGGGCTCCGCGCTCCCATCTGCGCCACCATCTCCAAATTCTGCCTGCTTTTGTCACACTGGGAAGTATAGACATGTTATCTCTTGCCCTCAAGTAGATAAAAATACAAGCACAGTGTTAAGCTGTACTAAATTAAGATTGATTCCTCATGGCCTTTCATCTTCAGGCGGCATAACTCACTTCTATGTGATACAGGTAGTATCAAGCTTCCCTTTAATCATCCCTGATTAACTGAGCTTCCATAATGAACAGGATGGGTTTTCTTCCCCCTAGCTTTGTGTTGACATTCAATAAAACGCCAAACAAACAGAAGCCCCATTTGGGATTCCCACAGGACCTTATTTCAAATGAAGCCCTAGAAATATAGGAAATAGCAGTTAACTGGAGAGGATGGAGGCAGATCAGAGAGGCAAGGTGCTGAGCCCTGCCAGAGGACAGCCCCACCATCGGGCTGGTCTGCTGCACCAGGAGAAGAGCCAGTGCGGTGACAGTGGGGATTCTCTGATGTCAGAGAAGAATGCAGGAAAGAGAGAAGGCGATGCTAGAAAAGAAAGATGATTAAAGGGGACCACCAGACCAGATGGAGTTTGCCTTGAGCTGATATCATGAATTGATATTTTTGCAGCCTAAGTAAACATAGTCTGGAGTGAACGTGAGCCAGGACGTCTGTAAGAGGTCTATTGTGCCTTTAGGATTTGCTCTTTTGGTTTTTTATCTTTTTTTTACTGTAAAGAGATGCTGAAAAGGACATTTGAGATTTTTTGCTCCCCCCCTAGAAGCAGACAAAAGTAGCATTTCCCACCCTGCAACTTGCTGCAGGCACAGCACAAGGCTGGAAGCAAGCTAGCAAGCAAGCTCTGCGGCAGCACGTACCCCTGACCTGCTGACGGCAGAAGGCAGCCTGCAAACAGCTAACAGCAGGAGGATAGGTGCACGCCAGGGAGAGAAATACGTGTAATCTTTCAGAATGAGTCACAGTTCACACGGCTGAATAACGTTTGCAATGACGGGAATGCTGCCGTTTCAACAGGCTTGAAAGCTGCAATGAAAATGAAGACTGACAATCATTTTCGGGGCGGGGGGGGAGAAACCCAG